GTTTCCACCGTGAAGCATGGAGAAGGAGGCATGGTGGCAGTGGCGGCTCTAGACCAAATGTACCAGGGGGCCAAGTGGGGGCCAGCGTGTGTTCATGGGGGAACAGAAAAGCATGAAACAAAAAACAGGGCAAGGGATTTAAATATATTAAGAGAGCTGCATGAAGTGAAATTTCTATTCAAATAGATTTAATTAAAATTCTATGTCTTATTAGGTCTATATTCATTCAGAATTGAGGAATTTCACATATTTTTGATGTAATTTAACTTAAAATAACCGTTTTCTATCAAATCTAAGTTGGCGTTCATGAAAAACTGATAAATTCAGCCGTAGAAATTAGTATAAATTTTTTTTCTTTTCCTTGAAAAAAAAACATTTAGCAGATGGAAACTGGGCTCCTATCTCAATACCCCTGAAGCTACCACCTTATTGTTTTTAAATAATTAGTAAAACAGAAATTGTAAAGAAAAAAACGAAATAGATCCAAAGGAGCTATGAGTAACGATGTCTGTTCCAGTGCATATCATCATTAGAACTTCTTTAAGTATTATATCTACAGTACAGTAGGCCCTGGCCCCCGCTGGCCCTGTCTAGAACCGCCCATGTATGGTGGTGTGTGTGTGTGGTGGGGGTCTTTGCTGGTGAAACTGTTGGGGATTTATTTAAAATTGAAGGCATACTGAACCAGCATGGCTACCACAGCATTTTACAGCGGCATACTGTTCCATCTGGTTTGCGTTTAGTCGGACTATCGTTTTTTTTTTCAACAGGAAAATAACCCCAAACACACCTTCAGGCTGTGTAAGATCTACTTGACTAAGAAGGAGAGTGATAGGATGCTGCACCAGATGACATGGCCTCCACAATCACCGGACCTGAACCCAATCGAAATGGTTTGGGGTGAGCTGGACCGCAGAGTGACCGCAAAAGGGCCAACAAGTGCTAATCTGGGAACTCCTTCAAGCCTGTTGGAAGACCGTTTCAGGTAACTACCTCTGGAAGCTCATCAAGAGAATGCTGTGGGTGTGCAAAACAGTAATCAAAGCAAAATGTGGCTACTTTGAGGAACCTAGAAAATAAGACACATTTTCAGGTGTTTCACACATTTTTGTTAAGTTTATAATTCCACGTGTTAATTCATAGTTTTGATGCCTTCAGTGTGAATCTACAATTTACATAGTCATGAAAATAAAGAAAACTCTTTAAATGAGGAGGAATGTCAGAACTTTTAGTCTGTACCGTATATAAATACACATATACATGTGTGTGTCTGTGGATAAAAGTACAGCACAGTTTGCTTATTAAGCTTAACTTACCAAACAGGATGTTTTCAGGCTTCAGATCGCTGTGCAAAATCCCATGTGAGTGGAGTTCCTGAAGTCCCAGCAATAACTCCTGGCAGATTCCCAGTCTCCACTGGTCAGTCAGGTTTTGTCTCTGAGGAAAATCCTTTTTTTCAATCAAGTCTTTCAGATTATATTCACAAAGAGGGTAGGCAAAATAGCCAAAGTAGGAGTCTTCCAACACAGCAAGGGGCTGCAACAAATGTTTCATCTTTAATTTTTCTGAACTTAGAAAGTTTGCCATTTTCAATTCAGTTTTGGCAACATGTTTAAGAACTCGTTTTACTGCCACAGGACAGTCGCAGAAGAGTCCTGGAAAGACTTGTGTCCCAGTGCATCCATCTGCAATCTTAGTTTTTGGATTGAAGACAAGGTCATCAATTTTCTTCACGTCAGGCTCAGACTGTAGATTTGCTAGTGAGCTCTTCCACCGGGATTCCTTTAATGTTGAGCAAAGAAATCTCAATTAGATAAGAGAAAAATCAATAAAATATACAGAACAAGCACACTATAGCATAGACATGGTAGGAAAATGTTTAGAATTTCATCAGGGAATGTAGATGAAGAAAGAAACTACTAAACATATTTACCTTCTTTTCCATCTGCTCAGTGCAAGAGGATGCAGCAATCCTCTAAAACAAATTACAATTACAGCATTAAATTAAACTAATGCAAGATTAAAAACAATGATTTGTTTAACCATTGACAGCATTTAAAAATTCTA